TTAAACTTGTTTCCTTCACTTATTCTGACATTTTGTGGTGTGAAGCACACCTTCCCACAGCTTAGCATGTGTTAGCTACACGATGTAGTAAGCAAAAGTATGAAGAAATGAAATTCACATCATGTAAATAAACACATTTGGATTCAGATAACAAGGTGAATTCGTGGTACTTTTCCTACCAGTCAGTAGTTAACGAAATCAACTTCCTCTTAGAGAACATGAAGCTTTTCTTCCTCATTTGGCCTAATACAGTTTTCAAAACTGTCACAAAGCAGTGGGGCAGCGATGTTACATTATTGTAGTCTGACTTCTCTCTTGTAATGACATTTTTGGGGAAAATACAGTTAGACGGTATAAAGTGCAAAGAGTATTTTGTCCTTCACCAGACTTTGCTTAGAACATGACTTCACCAGCTTTTTGTGTAAGAATAAAATATAATAAAAAAGATAAAATAATAAAAAAGTGAAGAGCATCCTAAGAGTCAAAAAACTGTTTCTTTGCTAAAACAAAGGCCAACTTACCAGAAACAGGAAGATGCAGCTCTGGTGTTTGGTTGACAGTTGCGTTGAACACAAGCTTATTACAGGAAGTGTGAAGCAACTGAGGAGTGTATTCAAGAGAACAGTGTGGGTGGTGTCACAGAGTAGGCAGCACATCACAACTTGATGTTAAAAATAAATAGCACATCACATTGCAAGGCAGAACAGAAACAGTGTAGGTCATGTTGTGTATAAATATATTATATCATGTGTGAAGTATAGTCCTTAAGGTTTAAAATATAAAAGAAGTTACATATATGCACATAGTCATGAAATGTTTTCTTTTGAAGAAGTTGCTTGGGTCTGTTTCTTTTATTGATTCACAGGACAAACAACAGACGGAGGAAAAGAAGTCCATATAAGGATGTAGCCATTCAGTGTGATGAAGATGGGCCCTAATCAGTTGTTTTACGACCTGACCAGGCATCACGTGACTGAGTAGTAAAAAGAAGGGTCAGAGGCAACAGGAGTAGTCTTGCTTTGTCTGATGCCAGGGAAAGTTTGACCCAGAGCTCTGTAATGCAATATTCAATGTGTAATTAAATTGATTGATTGAGACCCAATTGAATCCGACCTCATCTTTAGAAACGAACATGCAGAGAAGACAGTAATTCTTTAACAGTCACTATAAAAAAAAAAGAATGTCAGAGTCCCAATTCTTTTTGAATCTCCTGTGTGAAGACTGTATAGAAGTATGATTGCATCTGACAGCTGCACTCACTCATGACCAATGATATGATTTTGTTGAAATCTGAGTACTGTGGCATCTATTTGGAAGCCATGGTAATGGTAAACACTGGATCCTGATTGGCTTGAAGGCATGTATTATGTTATGGATACAGCAGGCTACGACCTATCCAATGCAAAGGGTCATTCCTAACCCACCACATCTTCAACCACTGGAAGCTGGTAATCACTTGCCAACAAAGTTCCAATCACTTTTTTAAAAAATTGTTTTAGTTCTTTTTTGACTAGTCTGATCTTACTTTTCTATTTTAAATGTCATAATTGATAGTATTATAGTTATTGAGTCCATGTGTTTATTTCATTTTTGAAGCAAGGCACTGAGAAGGTAGTACTAGCTTTGAAACTGGTAGAGCAAGAAAAAAATACAAATGCTGCCATTCTCAGCATTTCTGCTGCATATTACTACATTATACAGTGTTTTTTTCTCCCTCACACAGCCCTCTACTTTGAATATATCCCAATTCTCTTAATCACATGCATTTTTCCCCCTTTGTTGCATCTTTCTCCATGTGAGGAGAGAGGAAATGAAATGGTAACTGGTCTGCACTTACATAGCGCTTTTCTACCTCAGTGGCACTCAAAGTGCTTTACAATGTTTTCTCCTTCACCCAGTCAATAATTTAGAGTCGCTTTAGGTTCAGTGTCTTGCCCTGAACACTTGGAGGGGTGTTCAGGAGGGCCAGGGATCAAACCGCCAACTTGCAATTAGAGGACAAGTGCTCTACCACCGGAGCCACAGCCGGCCATATTAGCAAGCAACTTTATCCGTATAGCCCCTTATCATACACAGAGATTTTTAAAGTGCTTTACCTCCAAAGGTAAAATTTCAAGCATGTAAAAAGTTGAATCCAAACATTCAGCAGCATAAGATAAAATTAAATAAATCAAAAACAGTGCAGACAATATTGCCATACAAATTTGTACAATAATAACAACTGACTGAAACAGCAGAAAAAGACAAAAGACAAGACATCACCAAGTAAATCTGATTAATTAAAAGCAGTGGGGGAGAAAAAATAATTGTTTTTAGTTTACTTATAAAACTTAAGAACGTTTAAAAATTCTAAGGGGAACTGACCCAACAAAACTTCAAGTTTTGTTAATGTTTCAGAATTTTTCAATCTGCCCCGCAACAAGCTTTCATCTGGTACTGCAACCCCATTGTCCTCCCTTGCAGAAAGCTGACTCTCCACCACTGCCACTGCAGAGAGAGGTTAAGAGTCGCAAGCATAATAAGGTTTCAGCAGATTGACATGGCAGAGTTTAGCCACTTTTCTACAACGTGGCGTGGACAGCAGATAATTTTGTTCAGACACTTGGCGCAACACAGTAAAAGGACCAGAAAATTTTGCTTGGAAGGGTGAATTAACCAAGGGCAACAGAGCAAGAACCTGATCTCCACAACTAAACACCCGCTGATTTGCTTTCCGATAATAAAGACAATTAACTTTCTCACGAGCAGTCAACAACCTATTTCTAGCCAGCTCTCCAGCTGAGCACACACGATGCCGGAAACCGCTTACATACTTTAGTAAATTACCCGGGAGTTCTGATGGTGTAACTGCATCATGCAACAGTGTGAGTGGTCCATAGACAGTATGGCCAAAAACATTAGGGCTAAAACCTGTGCTTTTCTGCACCACTTGAGCAGAAGCCACGGTAGCCCTTCCTCCCAGTCCTGATTCTACTCGACACAGTAACTACGCAACAGGGACTTAGGAGTCTGATGAAACCTCTCAAGTGCACCCTGACTCTGCGCATGATAGGAGGAAGACTGGTTATGTTGAACCTTTAAGCTCTTCAACACCTGTGCAAACAACTTTAATGAAAAATTTGAGCCCTGATCACTCTGAATCATCCTCGGGATCCCAAAAATGGAAATAAAGAGACTCAGTGCTTTCACTACTTACTTTGTGGTGATGGAGCGCAGTGGATACGCAGCTGGATAACACGTGGTTAGACAGATTACAGTAAGTAGCGACTACTACCCGCTTTTGAACGAGGTAAAGAACCGACAAAATTGATTATCAAATGCTCAAAAGGTTGTGCAATCGCCGGAATAGGGGACAGTGGACAGGTTTAATGGTCTGACTTGGCTTACCTGTCATCTGACATGTGTGACATGATTTAATGTACTGGGACACGTCTCTTTTCAACCGACGCAAAAAGAAATATCGTACAATGTAATTATACGTTTCACGAATGCCCAGATGTCCTGACTGGTAATGGGATGTCTTAAGGACCTCATTACAAAACTTCACAGGAACCACAATCTGAAACACTGCCTTACCAATGAAATCATCCCCCTGTGGCAACAATTTCCTCACCAAGAGGTATGTGCCCCACATGGGTGAGGCCCGTTCCCCACTGTCCTTAAACGCACTAAATCGAACAGAAAGGAAATTTCACACTATTTCAACATAAACTAGAAAATTTCCTTGCAGAAAATTTGAGAGTGCCACGGGAGTCTGCCGGGACCGATAAATGACTATTTTATAATTACCAAACCTACCAAAAACTTTGAATAACCTAAGCTTAGCTGTGTGAAGGGCTGTTGCTGTGTGGAGGGAGCAGGGTCAGAGCGTTGCCGGTCAACAAAGCACACAGCTGCAACTGATACTTGGTTTAACTGTCAAATCAGTAGAAGAAACCAGAAGGAGAAGACCTCAAACAACCGGCATTTTTGTCAAAACCATGTGTCGGAGAGAAAAGTTTTCCTAGAGTAAAAAATGAGCGCACAATCATTTGAGAAGAAATGTGTAAATTTGTGGTCCTTGAGAAAACTCTGTAGCCGTCTTTGAATGGGGGCAGATGGGGAAGGAAAAGAGACTTGTGGAGGAACAAGGCTCCAAAACCCCCCCAAACTTAATTCTGTGGGCTTCCAAAGTGACATTGTGAGCCGGAGGACAAATTTTCCTACGTTTTGATGTAAAAATGATGTCTGTGGCATAAAAACTGTGGCCAGGGCGACAAGTTAAAAAAAAATTTACTGTGTGAGATTTTTCTGAGCTCCCACTCCAGTGATGTCATCACTCACTCTAAAGGACCACATACACACCCATTGTAAAGGCTGAAAAGGGGTGAAAAAGTTTCAAAACTTGAGAGGTTGTCACGAAGAAATGATTAAAGATATGAAAAAAGGAGAAACACTTTGAAATAGGGGAAGGCCACGTCAACATTATAAAGTTTAAATGGAGTCTCTAGGTGAAAGTATGCATGAGCAGTGGAGGTTTGAAAAGTAGTGTAATTTTGGGTGATTTTCTCGTCCGTCCCATTCATTTTCAATGGGAGATTTTTGCAATGTTTTTGCGAATTGCGTGGCGAAAAATGCTTTTTTTGTAAATCTGTATGTAAGCACACGATTCCCGATCGAGCCGCACATTTTGATGTATAATTTGTGTGAGTGCTCTCAAATCTGTGGGAGGAGTAGCCGACTGAAAATTTGTACGGAAGAGGAAAAATAAGAAAAAACACGCAGGATAACAGGAGGATAACTCGTGCTCAGCCCGTGGCACTAACTATAATCTTAATATATATAACTTTGGGGCCTTTTCTGCATCCTTTATCCCATTTCACTGATTGTACATCCTCCATTCCTCGTCTTAGTCCCTCCCAGCAGAGATTCAAGTGGAGGAGGTGAGGAGTTGATGCAAAAAGATGAAAGACGAGTCGAGGCAGTAGGTTTATAACAAAAGGAGAGATTCTCAGACTGTCAGTTTAAAGCAACGTTGATTAAATATGCCACGTAGCAGTGCTCCATCACCTGTCCATTGTTTTATTATAACCTACCACAGTCTCTACAGCCTCTTGTATGTCAAAGGTGTGGAAAAAAACTTTATTGAGGATACAGAGAGGACACACCTGTGCATCCTCTCTCCAAACTCCAGCAATGCTCTGCTTGCCAACATGGAAGTGCCCGGTTCCTCTGATGCTACAGTATCAAACAGTAAGAGGCCCAACCTGGTGGAGGAACTAGGTACTACAGCGAATCAACAGCACTTGAAGTCTATATTATTACCGATTATTGTATAGTTGCCCGTCGTGAGGGACAACTATAAAATAATCGATCCAAGCAGTGTCTGGTTGTGTCTGTGAACAGTCTCTAGCTCGAGTGCTAAGGTCTAACAAGTTGGTATTTTACAGGTGAGCTAGGAATGGCTTCTCTTCCAAAAGATTCAATTTGGGGGTCAGTCAGTGCAAAAATAGCTCTGCTAGAGGTCAAAGATCACCTTTTCAAAAATGCTGTCTACCTTTACAAGGGTGGAAGGTATTTATGGTATTTGGTGCAGATAGGCAACCATGTTGAGGCTTTCCTTGGTGAAGTTACAATTGACCATAGATGATATTTCAAGGTTAAACTCAAGGTAATACATTTTGACTGCACTTTAACTTAAAAACGGTGTAAGATTGACACACTGTATCGGAAACCACATACAGTTATGTTCAAAATAATAGTCCAACATTAGAGGAATTGTGAAATGCAGTCCAGTTGTCCTGGGCTGGAACACCTGTTCACAGGTGCCAGAAGTTGATCGACTCCATGCAACACAGATGTGAAGCAGTTCTCAAAAGCAGTGGTTATACAACTCAATATTAGTTCAGTGATTCACAGAAAGGTTAAATCTTCAAGCATGTTTTAGTTTATACAGTAAATGTTTGAGTTTGTAAAACAAAATGTAGACACTGCTATTTTTGAACAGCCTAATATTCCCTTGTCTTCACTTTCTGTAAAGTAATAACAAATTTGATCAATATTTCTTCATGTTTTGATTTGGAATGGAATGTGCACTGTTCCCAATGTATTTACATGAATGGAAATAAAAGCTAATACAAGGATTTTGAACTTCACTGACATTTTTCAACACACTCCTGTTATTTGGAACACAACTGCATAGGTTTGCAACTGGGTAAGAATCTTTGCTCTTGCTAACAAACAACTAAGACACAATTAAAGAGATTTCAAAAAACAAGCCGCTTTAATTATTGTTGAAGGAGGAGTACTACAGTAGTCACCCACTATCAACCTGGTAGAAACACGTACTACCCAGGTGTGAGTGTATATGAGTGCCACCACTTTGGTAGACCTTCAGCATCGATAGATGTAACTTCCTCTGCCAGCAGCTGCAAGCTGTTGGGTGAAATATTTTATACATCTAAAACAAAAAAAATCTTCATTCCACAGTTAAGTAATCATCCTGATGAATGACTGGCAATCAGCCAATTGTGTTTTAAACGCCCCAAATGCAGTGACTCCATAACATGAAGTAAAGCCAGGCTCAGACTACAAGATATTTAGGTCAATTCTTTGCTGCCACTTAGCTCTTTACAGAGATTTTGCTGCCAGATACAACAGGTCCTTCAGATACTTTTAAACCTGTCTAATGTATTTCACAATGACCAACTATGGGCAAAATCCAAAACAAAAAGGATTTTGGTCACAGGGTTTTCAGTCTACTGCAATCTGAGCCTGGTGTAGAAGACAGAATCATAATATAATCAACACAAAAACACTAAGCTTAAGCCCAAAGGAGGTTCTGTTGATTATTACTGATCTACCCATGCAAGCAAGGTGCAGGGGCGTAGGCTTAGAACACAGCAAGAAAAAGAGAAAACATTAGGTTCAACTCTAAGTGCAGCAGAAATCTTGAACTGGTCAGACTGGACTAATTTACAGCAGGAGAGCGAGAGGAAAAGAGAACTGCTGCTGCTGAGTTCACTACATCTGCTGGGTGGAGTTCCCATTCCAGGTGTTGTTGTCGTCCTCGCTGTCCTCCTGAGTCCTGAGCCTGCAGATTTTACCGTCTTTCTTGAAGTCCTTGGGCCGGTTCTCCAGTGTGTGCTTGGACAGAGTTTCTCTGAGCAGACAGAGAAAAATAGCAAGACAGAGCAAGTGAATTACCACATCAACAGCATAAACATAGAAACAAATACATCAGCTATTTTTCCCCACTTGAAAAGCACAAGTACAGAAGATGTCAAAGCTACCTAACTGACCACAGCGGATTGGCAACAATATTATTCTTAATTTTGCTTCAGCCTTTATATGCTACTAGTCACACCAGACCAAGTTGGATCTAATAAGAGCTAGTTGTAAATAGTAACACTATGAAAATGTGTTATGTACCTACACATGCACAAGCACTACATGCTGTGTTCAAAATTTAACAAAATGTTCTTTCATTTATATGATTCTTGATCCCATTTCAGACATGGGATATGGAGCATTGCTGGCTTCACCAATCTGTTAAAGTGACGATATTGCAGTCCTTCAGATAACGCTGACTTTTCCATTTATGTTCCTCATAGTCTAATGCAGCGATACCAGATTGAGCTGGGGTATGCACTCGATATTAGCCATTCACACAAGACTAGACAATGTACCAAGTGACGCATATGCATAATAATGCAGTAACAGACTAAATCTATACCAATAACAGCTGACAACGTGTCTAAATAGATAACAGCAAAGTTTGTTTCTGATTTCTTAAACAGCAGAACAGAAAGCCCAGGACTGAGCTGAGGACAGCTATGATGTTGTGAAAAAGTTCTTTTTTCATCATTTCATTCAAAAACCTTTCACATATTCCATATTTATTACACGTAAAGGAAATATTATAAGCCTGCTTTAATTTTCATGACTATGCTTATAGGTCTTGAAAATCAGAAATCCTGTATCTCCAATTTTTAGAACATTTCCAAAGATCAATCAAAAAAGGGATTTACAATACAGAAATTTCTTGTGAAAAGCATGTCTACACTACATATTTTACTCTAGACCTCAAACATGCTGGACTCTGTGCCTCTTCACTCTTCCTCCAGACTCCAGGATCTTGATTTCCAAATGAAATGCAAAATCATTTTCATCAAAATAAAGGACTTTGGACCACTGTGCAAAAGTCCAGTTCTTTTTCTCCTCAGCCCAAATAAGACACTTCTGGGCTCCGTTTCACAAAGCAGGTTCAAAAAACTCTGAATCTAATCCTGAAGTCTGAGCTGATCTACTCTGAGACAGGAAACTCTGAGTTTGCGGATCCAAAGATTTGAGTTAGTTTAATCAACTCGGAGACGTTTCACCTGGAGTTAAGCACGTGCACCACAACTATTAAAAAGCCAGCATCAATGATTATCATATTGACTTAACGTGTCTGACTGAAACCTGGCTGCAGCATGAAGAATGCGTTTGTCTGAATGAATCAACTCCCCCTAGTAGGGATGGGAATTGTTAAGAAATTAGCAATTCCGATTCCATTAACGATTCTGCTTATCGATACGATTCCTTATCGATTCCCTTATCGATTCTCAGTGAGTGTGAAATAAAAGAATACAAATAGTTCTGTTTGCATTAACTCTTTAATATTGTCACCTTTGGACAAAAATTTGGCATATCCATGCACTAATAATGTAATCTTAGGAAACAAACATTTAGATTAGTTATTTCTCTAATGTAAAGGAGCCTAGAGGCCTCATGCAGCTTTTGTGTACCTTGCAAGATATGAAGGTCCTTAGGAAATACAATCAAAATGATAACATTTGGGAATATTTACAGTGCTTTGCATTCAACTTGACCCAAAACTAATGTGGACATAAAACAAAGAATGCTTCTGTAAAAATGACCATATCAAACAACAACACAAGCTGTGTTTGCAGAAGTTTCCGTCAGATGTTTGAAACATCTGACTGAAACTCCTGCAAACAGCTGCATTTACAGCATTCAGTCATGTTCTATCGTCACGACAGTCTCGTTTCATGTTCAGCATCGTATCCATCCGTATTTGAAAACGGAGCTAAATGGAAAAACAGCTGAACAGTATCTGAGATGGAATAAAGAGAATCTGGTTTTATTGCAGCCCAGACGTCTTTTATAGCTTCACCACCGCGGCCTCGGCGGCTAACGGAGATCTGGAGCTGCAGCAGGGACTCAGACTGGATCCGTCTGTGAACGTATCGGTGGCTCCGCTCCTGCTTTTGCCTGTATGAGTCTCGCCTTCGCTAAGTAGCGTGTCAACAACGTTACACTTACGCAAATGAATTGCATGCTGGGTGGACAAATGTTTCTGCATATTGGAAGTATTTCCCCCCTTTGACAAAATCAATGCTTTGCAGGTGTTGCAAGTAGCCCCGGTGTCATCTTTTCGCGTAAAATACAGCCAAACTTTGGAGTGCTTCTGCCTCGACGCCATGCTGGAAAGTTCTGAACCAAAACACACGTCGTGCGTATGACGTCATCACGCACGGAGACGTAAGCGGAACCGATAAGCAGAATCGCTAAGGAGGCAGACAAACGATTCCCAAGAATCGAATCACTGGGATCCGGTTCTAAAAAAAGAACCGGTTTTCGATTCTCATCCCTACCCCCTTGTCATATGAATGTTCATGTACCGAGAAGTACAGGCAGAGGGGGAGGGGTGGCAGCAATCTTCCACTCAAACCTATGAATTAACCAGAGACCAAAACTTAGTTATTACTCATTTGAAAGCCTTAGTCTTAGTCGCACACACTTGAATTGGAAAGCACAAAAACCAGTTTATATCTGAATTCTCTGAGTTCTTAGCTGACTTAGTGCTTAGTACAAATAAAGTCATGAGAGTGGGTGACTTTAATATCCATGTAGATGATAAGAATGACAGCCTCAGCTCTGCATTTAGTTCATTGTTAGACTCAGTTGGCTTCTCTCAGAATGGAAATAAACCAACTCATAGTTATAACCATACCCTTGATCTTGTTTTGACATATGGCATAGAAATTGAACATCTTACTGTTTTAAAACACACTGGACTATGGAACACCTACCAAACAGTTCCAATACAGTAGATGTCTATCTGAAAATGCAGTTATTAAATTTAAGGAAATGATTCCACTATTATTTACTTCAATGCCAACACGACGAAGAGCAGTTCCTCAAATCTCAGTCCCACACAGGTGGATAATCTTGTTGATAGAACTGCAGCTTTACTGCATTCATCAATTGATGCTGTTGCCCCATTGAAAAAGAAGCCTCTAAATTATAATAAAATAGCTCCATGGTATACTCAACAGCTGCACATTTTAAAACAGAAATCAAGAAGGCTGGAAAGACAGTGGTGCTCTACCAATTCAGAAGAATTTCATCTAGCCTGGAAAGACAGTTTCCTCGCCTATAAAAAAGTGATCTGCAAGACAAGAACTGCCTACTATCCATCCCTAATTGAGTAAAAAAAGAACAACCCCAGGTTTCTGTTCAGCACTGTAACCAGGCTGACAAAGAGTCACAGCTCTGTGGGGCCTTGTGTTCCTTTAGTTCTCAGCAGTACAGATTTTCTGACCTTCTTCACTGTTAAAGTTTTGAATATTAGACAAAAAAGTATTAGCATGTTTGTAGGTGCAGCAGCTCTGGATGCATCCATAGGACCAGATTGATACTTGGACTGCTTTTCTGCTGTAAATCTCTCAGAGCCCACATCGACAGTAAATTCTTCTAAACCAGCGACATGTCTGTTAGACCCAGTTCCCACGAGAATGTTTAAGGAAAATTTTCCTCTAATAAATACTGCAGTATTAAATATCATCAACTTCTCTATATTAACAGGCTACGTACCGCAGGCTTTTAAAGTAGCTATAATAACACCACAACTCAAAAAGCCTAATCTAGATCCAGGCGGTTTAGCAAACTATAGGCCCATATCCAACCACCCTTTTATTTCGAAAATTCTTGAAAAAATTGTTGCAGTCAATTATGGGATTATCTGCATAGAAATGGTTTGTCTGAACAGTTTCAATCAGGTTTTAGAATCCATCATAGTACAGAGACAGCACTGGTGAAGGTCACCAATGATCTTCTTATAGCCTCAGACAGTGGACTAGTTTCTATACTGGTTCTGCTGGATCTCAGTGCTGCATCTGATCCAGTGGATCACAACATCTTATTACAGAGACTGGAATATTTAATTGGGCTTAAAGGAACTGCACTAAACTGCTTTAAATCATATTTATCAGAGAGATTCCAGTTTGTTCATGCTAATGTAGCCAAATGAAACCATTCAGTTGGTCAGACTCCAAGCATGTCTGAGGAACATAAAGGCCTGGATGACCTGTAATTTCCCTCATTTAAATTCAGACAAAACTGAGGTTATTGTATTTGGCCTTAAACACCTCAGAAACACACTATCGAACCAGATAGCTGCTCTAGATGGCACTGCCTTGGCCTCCAGTTCTACTGGAAAGAACCTTGGAGTTATTTTTGACCAGGATATGTCATCCAATAGCCATATAAAACAAGTTTGTAGGACAGTCTTTTTTCATTTACGTAATATTGTAAAAATCAGGAACATCCTCTCTCAGAGTGATGCTGAGAAACTAGTCCATGCATTTATAACTTCTAGACTGGACTACTGTAATTCCTTATTATCAGGATGTCCCAGTAGCTCTCCAAAAAAACCTCCAGCTGATCCAAAATGCTGCAGCCAGGGTTCTAACAGAGATCATATTTCTCCTGTATTAGCTGCTCTTCATTGGCTCCCTGTAAAATCAAGGATAGAATTTAAAATCCTGCTTTTAACATATAAAACTCTCAATGACCAAGCTTCATCTCACCTTAAAGACCTTATTGTAGGTTTGGTTCCTTCCCACTGTTGCCAACTGCTTGCTCAGAGGGAGTCCAAAGGCAACTTTGGATTGTTCGTTTCTCTGTTTACATTTGTAAGGTCAATACCATACTTTGTTAAGTGCTGTGTGATGACATGCTGTAAACTGCGCTATACAAATAAAATTGAATTGAATTGAATTGAATTGAATTGAAATTGAATGAAGCCCTGATTCAATGAATCACCATGGCAACGGGGAAGCAGAGGGCTGTGTTTTTCACCCACTAGAGCTGGAA